TAAGACCACACCTGAACATGCTGGCCTGTTATCTAATGGTAATGGACTAAAACATATTTGCTGGAGAACCTTTGAGATTGGTTTACAGCACATCATTTAGCAGTGTTGCATCCAAAGTCAGAATAGCCATGACAATCTCCAATAGGAGAATGACAATAACCAAAAAAGGAAGTAGGTCAGCTATTGTATTTGATTCCACAAGGATCGTATCAGTACAACTGTGTGCTTTTCTCTTTCTTTCCATCTCAAGTATCAGGTAAAGACTTTTCCTCTTCTTTTATCTCTGGTTAGTAATTTGAGGCTTTCAAAACTTTGGGCCAACATCATCTTGAGGATCTGTAGAGCACAACGTCCTTCTAGTGCAGTAAGATGGTATCATGCTGTTTGTGTAGGCAATACCATACTATAAGTAGAGGATGTTTTTTCTTCAGAGATCACTTCTTGCACAAGTGACATAATCCCACACTACTATGATGATGCGACTTTCTACTCTGTAGAAACTCTCAGAGATCTTGGCTTTGGTTTCTACACTTTCAGGGACTGAAAATAATGGAACATTAACTGAAAATAACTTTAATCCCTTTGTTTATAATGGAATTGAGTTACTAAGCATTACAGTTGGATTTGCATCTAAAGCTTTTATTGTACACATGGACCTTTTAAATGTCAGGAATCACATTCAGCTGAATGTGCTGTCAATTTATAGAAACAAAACACATATATTGCATTTACTTTGCGCAGTACAGACCTGACTCGGACATAGTTGAAGGAGAAACAGGAGATTTGTTAAAATAAATCTGCTTTTTCCTGATTGCTTTATCAAATTTAATTTTATTAGTTTGAATCTTGTGGGAAGAGTCTATTTTAATAATGCATAAAAGAACTGTCTAGTGGTTGACTCTTGGCATTTGTTTGATATTTAATGTAATCTGCAATTACTCTTGTAGTTTCAGTGTTGGCTAGCATGTTAAGGTCATTGGCAAGCTATACTATATAATACTTGGTGTACAAGAACATCCTTATTTTGATTGATGGCTAAGCTCTTTAGAAGTATTTTAATTTTGTCCTTGAAACATGTCCTAAGAAATGCTATCAACATGTATCCTACCAAGCACTGTGCTAAAGTTGGAAATCTAGGGATAAGTTAAGAGCTATACTAACAGTAGTACATGTCCTTTAAAACCAAACGCAAGCATATGGATCTGCTACTGATAACTGGAGACACTGTCCAGAATCTACTGGAGATTTACACATATGTAAGAGAAATTGTGTTAAGCCATAGTTGTGAATAGCTGCTAATTAATGAGATGCCAATTGTGCTCCTGGCTATGTACCTTTCACACATGATGTTGATGAACCACCTAACAAAACTGCAATTTGCTGCCATAGCTTACATCACTTAACTTATGCACATGTAAATCACCAAAAGAATTCTGGCCACTATTCTGAGTTTAGCTGCCATTTTCCAAAACTTTCAAAGAAAGGAAAACACATAATTTTGATATTGATGAATCAGTTGTTTTGATTATCTTATTTACAATGAAACCAGTGTCACTTAGAAACAATCTCCCAATGATGAGACAAACAGGAAAGAAGGCCAAGTAGGAACTTAAGAAAACCACCCTATTTTTCAGAGAGACAACAAGTCTTATCATGGAAGCTCCAAAAAGTTGATGTCACTCAGATCTATGCAAAACTAGGAGTCACTCCCACTGAGTTTCCAAGTAAACAGGCATAAGATTGGCCTGCTGGTAAGACATTTGACCCATCCGTTAAAACAGTCTTGTCCACTCCAACCAATTGTAAATGCCACTGCAGTAAAGCACAGTAAATGCTACTGTAGCATTGAGAAGACTTCAAAATGTTTTTTTTAAAACACCTTAGAAGCACATTTATTTTTTTCACAAGTTGTTATTAAACAAACATAATTAGTTACTCATCAAGATACAATCCCAGGCCTCTCCTCAGAATGCTTAAGCTTCAGTTTTTAAAGTAAATGTTTCAGGTCAATTACTAGTATAGATAAGCATAGGCTATAATATTCTGCCCAACTGCTTAGAAACATCCTTCTGCCAATAACATATTGGAAGTGAGCATAAAGGCACTTGAATAATTGACAAGCCCTGCAACAGAGGTAGGGAGCTTGTGGCCTTCCAAATGCTGCTGGACTATAATTCCCATTGTTCCTGACCACCGACTATGCTGGCTGCTGGATGTTATAATTCCACAACAGCCAGCAGGCCAAAGATACTAGATTTTCTTAAGTTATAAAATCAACATGTATATTATTTCTTTATTTAATTAATTTATTTAGCACCTCATTAGTACAAAGCACTATTCTGGGCAGTTTACAAAACAGTAATATAAAATACAATGGTGCCCGCTAGACGCTTACCCCGCATGACGTCAAAATCGCTTAACGATGACTTTTTTGTGATCACTATTACGATCGCAAAACGATGGTTCCAATGGGGGAAATCCGCATTACGTTGATCAGGAGCCTGCTTCGCGAACCATTTGTTCACTATACAACGATTTTTCCGGTTCCGCAAAATGGCTTCCCTCCCTTTACAAAATGGCTGCTTTCTGGATCCCTGCTTCGCATTACAGTGATTTTTAACAGCTGATTGGCGGTTCTCTGTGGGCAACCTTCGCTGGACGATGAGGTATTTCCCCATTGGAACACATTGACCAGTTTTCAATGCATTCCAATGGGTTTTTTTCTGCTTGACAACGATTTCGCTTAATAGCGATTTTCCTGGAACAGATTATCGTCGTCAAGTGGGGCACACTGTAAACCATAAGCAAACGGCAATGAAAATCATAAAAATCAAACAGAAATATTAACTTATTTTTAATGAAATACTTCATAAACACTTGACTACCTACAGTTTTGTTTCCAGCAATTCTTAATTAATGGTGCCTTTATCCATTGCCACCCTCACATTTCTAGCTGTGAACCTGGGCTGGTAAATAGAAAGGTTACTTACCTGTAACTTTGGTTCTTTGAGTGGTCCTCTGTGAATTCACACTAATGGGTTCAGTCTGCGCATGCGCAGAGGTCTTGGAATATTCTGGAGCTAAAAACCGCTAGGACTGCCCCCCTGGAGCCCACGTGGTCTGCTCCTCCTACTGGTTCCCTCAGTTCCCAATATCTGCTGCTGCTGAAAAGGAGAGACAGACGTGATGGACAGAGGGGAGGACGGGCGGGAAGTGTGAATTCACAGAGGACCACTTGAAGAACCAAAGTTACAGGTAAGTAACCTCTCTTTCTTCTTCGTGGCCTCTGTGAATGCACACTAATGGGTGATTAGCAAGCTTACCTTCACATGGTGGAGGGACGTCACGGCAGCACAGAAGATAACACAGCACGTCCAAAACGAGCATCCTCTTTAGCACGGACATCAAATCAGTAATGGGATGCAAACGTAGATGGCGTGGACCATGCGGCAGCCCTGCAAATGTCTTGAACAGGAACACCTCTCAGAAATGATGTGGAGGTAGCCACCGCTCTGGTAAATTGTGCCTTAATAGGACCCAGGAGGGGCTTGCGGGCGAGATCATAAGTAAGGTGAGTAGTTTGAACAAGCCACTTTGAGATGGTTTGAGTAGAGACTTGGTGCCCCCTACGAGGCGAGTGAGGTGAGATAAACAGTCGTTTGGACTTCCAGAATGGGGAAGTCCTCTGGACGTAGTAGGATAGCGCCCGACGGACATCTAACAGGTGTAAATATTTCTCAGCAGGAGTGGTTGGTTGAGGAAAAAAGGTAGGTAAAATAATAGGTTGGCTAACATGAAAACCAGAACAAACCTTAGGGAGGAATGAAACATCAGGATAAAGGGTCACTTTGTCCCAGTGAAACTGGAGAAAGGGTGGGTCAACTCGCAGGGCCGCAAGTTCTGAGGCCCTCCTTGCCGAAGAAATCATGAGGATAGCACCTTATATGTGAGGAGATGCTCAGACGCTGTGACTAACGGCTCAAAGGATGGACGCATCAAGCGGTTTAGGACAGTATGGAGTGACCACTGAGGAGTACGTAGCACCCAAGGTGGGTTGAGGTGTGCCACACCACAAAGAAACCTTTTAACTTTAGGGTGGCGTAAAAGAAGGGCAGCATCCACATCAGGCAGTTGGTGAGCTGCTATTGCAGACAAATACACCTCGAGTGTAGGCAGAGCAAGCTGATTGTCGAAGAGATAAGAAAGGAAACAGAGGACAGCATCCATAGAAGTCGGAGACAGTGGTAGATCATGCAGAGTTACAAATTTCTAGCCATTTGTTTTTGTATAAATTCGAAGGCTTCCAACAGTGAGAGAGGATAGTATTCACTGAGGTACTATTCTCCAAGCAGTTAAGTGTAGGGACCTTATGTCAGGGTGATAGGTGTTCCCGCCATGCTGTACGAGAAGGTGTGGAAGATACGGAAGCTTCAAAGAGTCCACCGACATGCCCTTCAGCATTGTGAACCAAGGCTGGCATGGCCAACAAGGAGCACATTCGCATTGTCATGATGTATCTTGACAACAGTCCTTAGAATAAGAGGTATGGGGGAAACATATACAGTAGGAATTTGTTCCATGGTATCATGAGGGCGTCACCCCTTGACCCGACTCTGACTCCAACTCTGGAGAAAAATGTCACACACTTCGTGTTGTCCTGTGTGGCAAATGCATCTATCTCCGGATACCCCCGTCTCTTGCAAATGTGGAGAAAGATGTCCTGATTAAGGACCCACTTGGGCTGTCGTCCTGCTGAGACGGTCCACCCAGGCATTGCCTTGCGTGGAAATATGAATTGCTAACGGAAAAATGTGGTGGTCCAGACACCACTCTCAGAATTGAACTGCAAGGTATAGGAGGGGAGGAGAATGGGAACCACTGTTTATATAGAACATTGCTGTTGTATTGTCTGTAACTATTTGAACCGCCGTGCCTGCTGATTGGAAGAAACGCACGACAGGCTTTGAAAATTGCCAGAAGTTCCAGGCTGTTGATGTGGAGCCGGTGTTCCGACAGTGACCAAGGAGCATGGACTTGAAGATGACTGCAATGGGCTCCCCAACCGATGGGGCTGGCATCAGTAGTGATTCGTGAGGTAAGGAGAACTGGGGTAAAGGGGTGACCCATGAAGAGATTGCATGGGTTGACCCACCAGAGCAGCTGTTGTGCTAGCTCAGAAGAAACTTGGAGGCGCATGCTGGGTGGATCCACCAGTGGATCGAAAAGGGAAAGATACCAGGCCTGAAGGGACCTCATCTTCAGCCGTGTGTATTGTATTACGGACATGGTGGATGCCATGAGACCCAGGAGTTTCTGTGTTTGATGGGCTGTGACGAAGCTGTGGTGTGAAACGTTGGATTAAGGCCCAAATCTTGACTGCACATTCCTGAGGGAGGAACGCCCTTGCCTTCTTTGCATCCAAAATGGCGCCTATGTAGTCTGCTGCTTGTGATGGAATCAACATTGATTTCTTATAGTTGACCTGTCAGCAAGGGCAGTGTGGTGTTGGTGTGACGCATTGTTTGTTCTCTTGAGTGAGCCACGAGAAGCCAATTGTCTATGTATGGGTAAACAGTGATGCCCTTTGTGCAAAGGAAAGCTGCCACTGGTGCCATACACTTTGTGAAGACCCGGGGGGCTGTAGAAAGTCCAAACAGCAAGGCGTTGAACTCGAAGGAGGTTCCTCCAAGGGAGAAGCAAAGATATTTGCGATAATCATGTCTGATAGAAATGTGAAAATATGTGTCGCTTAAGTCGACCATTGAGAACCAGTCTCTGCAATGGAGTAGCGGAAGAATGCGCTCCAAGGTGATCATACAGAAGCGTCGGTAAGTAATGAAGAGATTTAGATCCCTTAGGTCTAAAATGGGGCGAAAGGAATCATCCTTTTTTGGAACCAAAAAGTATCTGGAAAAGAAACCTGGATCGGTGGGGTCCAGAAAGGCAAGTGATATGGTTGATTTTTCTAACAGAAGCTTTATTTTTCTTCTGAGGGCGACAGAAGGAGGCGTGCAAATGACTCTTGGTGGAGGAATGTCTATTAATTCAATGGCGTAACCTTGAGCAATGATGGTAAGTACCCAGGTATCGGAAGTGATGTTGATCCAGTTGCGCAGAAATGGTGCTAAGTGGGTTGGAGGAGAGAGAGGGGGTGCAGAGGAGAGAGGGGGGCTGCGGTCAAAGGCTCTGCTTGGGCTTCCTCTAGGGTTGGCAAGGGCAGTGATGCTGGTCTTGGGGACGAGATGGGTATGAAGGCGGTTGTTGAGAATAGTATCTTTGCTTCTCTGAGTATGGTTTGTAAGGTTGGTAGGAGGACGCTTCCACGGAAAATGTTTGTGTTAGGGTTGATTAGAATAATAATGGACAGTCTTCTTTACCTTCTGCAGGGTTCCAAGAATATCATCTGTCTTGGAATCAAAAAGACCTGTACCATCGAAAGGCAAACCTTCTATCATCATTGATACTGGCTGACCATATGTGACGTCTGATGACCACTCCTGTCAATAAAGTCTTAGAAGCTGCTTCAATAATGTGTCTGGTTGTGACCCTTTCTTGTCTCACGAGCGCCACGGCTTCTTGGTGAAGAGAGAGTCCCCGGGGTTTAAGTTCTGCTGGAGCTGCTTGCAGGGATGGAAGGGTGTGATTCTATAAATGTTTATGGTACACACCCATGGCAGCGATGTAGTTAGCCGCCTGCAGGGTAAATTATGCCAGGGAATATGCTCTACGTCTGAGGATGTCGTGCTTTTTACCTTCTTTGCTGTTGGGCGTAGTGTTTGATCTTGAACGAGATCAAGCATGTGTCACATCCACAACGACTTAGGAGGAGGGTGTTTGGCAAGAAAATATGTCTCAGTACCGTGAGTCTTGTATAAGTTCTCAACACAGCGGGACATTTGGGGTACAGAGGAAGGTTTAGTCCATACCCATTTGAGCAAACGGAACAAGGAAGGGATGAAGGCCATGCGGGGAGGAGGGGCCTGATCCTCATCAATATCCTCATAGACTTTATCCATCTCCACTTGGGGTGGTTGTTGAATGGATAGGTCCAGCGCCTTGGCTATCCGTTGGATCAGATTAGAGTATGAAACAAAATCTGCAGCTGGTGAAGTCAGGTGTGCATCCCCAATATCACAGTCGGGGTGCTGATGTTAGGAGGGGACTCCCGAGGTATGGAAGAATCTGAAGAGTCTGATTTGTATGAGTCCAGCCAAGAGGATTCCGAGGTATCTGAAGAGAAATATTGTCTGTGGCGCTTCAAGGAACATCAAGGACAGCCAAAGGCTTTTTCTTCCTGTGCTTGGTAATGATCGTGGTACCAGAAGCATCCGAATTGTGTGCAGAATCCGACACGTCTGAAGGAGATCGATGCCAGCAGCGTCTGGTAGGCTTCTTGAGTGTGGTGGGTAAAGCCGAGGTCTTCTTGTGCTTTGTACCAAGATCAGAACCAGCGGTACCAGTGGTGCTGGCATTGTGAGGGGCTTGTGTCATCGCAGGTGTGCGGTCAGGCTATGGTTTCGTCGGCTTCTTGACAGCCAACGGTATCGAGTGCCAGCGTCTGGTAGGCTTCTTGAGTGTGGTGAGTAAAGCCGAGGTCTTCTTGTGCTTAGTACCAAGATCGGTACCAGTGGTGCTGGCATAGTGAGGGGCTTGTGTCATCGCAGGTGTGCAGTCAGGCTTAGATGGTTTCATCGGCTTCTTGACAGTCAACGGTATCGAGTGTAGCGTCTGGTAGGCTTCTTGAGTGTGGTGAGTAAAGCCGAGGTCTTCTTGTGCTTAGTACCAAGATCGGTACCAGTGGTGCTGGCATAGTGAGGGGCTTGTGTCATCGCAGGTGTGCAGTCAGGCTTAGATGGTTTCATCGGCTTCTTGACAGTCAACGGTATCGAGTGTGCCTCCCTCTTGCACTTGGATGGTACCAAGGAATCTTGATGGTGCCAGGTCTTCTTGTGGCCCACGGTACCAGAAGACCGTGCTGGGGTGGATGATGTGTCCTCGTCAGAGGAGTCGGTATCATGAGAGGACCATGTCGACAAAGAAGGACTTGAGGAGTTGAACCCGTATAACATGCAGGGGGGTCATACCACTGTTCCATTTCTTTGCACCAGCGTTGGCAATGCTTGCGTTGATATGGTATGGGCGACCAATCATAAGGTGGTTCATGACTCCTCTTGTGTTTGGGCCAATGTTTTCAGACCCTAGATTTTTTGGAGACCTTCAGCCTCGAGTGCTTCGAAGGCTGGGAATCTCCGGAGACCTGTACCACATGCTGCAATCTGTCCTTTTTCTTAACCGTAACAAGGTCTGGTGGGCATGGTGACTCCGAGCCCGGCTCTGAACAAAGATCAGGCTGCGAGCCGGGGCTCAATGGTACGGAGGACTCTCGAGATGGTACTTCGGCGACCGTATCAGCCATGTGGGTCTGGACTGGAAGCAGAGGGGAAGAAGGCTCTCAACGAACCAGAAGAGAAGAATCTCTTGACGGGTTCAAGATGGGTCGGAGAAGAGAGCGAAGACTGTTGTGGAGTTGATTGTTGAGTAGGCGATGAAATGGGCTTCTTAGATTTAGAAGAAGCAGTCTTAGATTTCGGTTTGGCGGTTGATCCTGAATGCGAGTTGGATTTAGACTTAAAAGTCTTGGATTTGGGAGACTGAATAGGAGTCGCCATGGGAGATGCAGTTGACTTGGGCAAAGAAGGAGTGTCCTTCTTTGGGAGAAGTCAAGTGACTTCTCCCAAAGCAAGGCATGCAAACATTGTTCTCTTAACTTTAAAGCCTGTTTGGTAAAGCTTCGGCAATGGGCACAGGATTGGGGGAGATGAGTTTCACCCAAGCAAAATTGGCAGAGCTGGCGACCGTCCATAGTAGGGATTTTTTTACGGCAGGAGACGCGGCTCTTGAAAGAAATTTTAAGGGCAATAAAATGCGGGAAGAGGGAAATCTGGGGCGGGGGGGAGAAAACAACTAAATAGTACTTCTACTAATTTTTTTAAAACAAAGGGAGAAATACAAACAGTGGGCAATCAATTCAATGAAGAACATCACAAAGGTATTCCAGTTCCCATGCAACAGAGCTCCAAAGAGACCTACCGCTACAGTGGAAAAAATGGAACTGAGGGAACCACTAGGACAGGCACACCACGTGTGCTCTGGGGGGGCAGTCCTAGCAGTTTTTAAGCATTCTGCACCACCTGAAGTTTCCGCATCAGCCTCAAAGGCAGCCCCAAGTAGACCGCGTTACAGTGGTCTAATCTTGAGATTACGAGCGCATGTACCAAGCTTCGGCAATGGGCACAGGATTGGGGGAGTGATATTAGAGAAGTACTGCCCCTTGGATCACTGAATCCAGATCTCTTAATTGCAAGCCAGAAAGTCCTAGGAGCACACTCTAGCTCAGCGATGGCATACCTATGGCACGCGTGCCACAGCTCACAGGCAGAGCCCTTTGTGGGCACATGAGCCATGAGTCACTGGAGCGCTACCCCCGGCAGCCATATCTGAGGCTCCTGCAGCCTCAGTGCTAGTGCCCCAACAGGTGGAAGGCCAGGATCTAGAGCAGCTGGCACTGGCGGGCCAGCTGAGCTATAGGTAGTGGTGGGGTTGGGCATGGCTGGAGGCAGATCCAGAGTGGGGTCTAGAGGCCCCTCTGTGCCCAGGATTCCCGCTTCCGCTGCCACTCACTGGTGGTTTGTTTTTTGTTTTTTTTTTGGCAGTTTGGGCATTCAGGCTCAAAAAGGTTTGCCATCACTGCTGTAGCTTCTAGCTATGTTCAAAGGGAGGCAAAGATCCAATTCAGTGTGCATATGCAGCTGCGATGGTCATCAACAAAGCACTCAGCCCAGGGAGCATAAACTTTATTACAACAGCTATGGGACAGCTGGTCTAATTCGAAGCATATTCATAAGTATTGAGTATAACCTACAAAGTTCTACATGAATTGGACAGTGACTTTCAAAGACCAGGGTCTCCCACATAACACAGCCTCCCAAGATCCTTAAGACAATATCCTCCTTTGTCTCATTACTATTTAAGTTCAACATTACATGAAGAGGGCCTTCTCAGCGACTATTCCTTTATTTGGAATCACCTGCAAAGAGAAGCTAAACTAGCTTTGCCTTTATTGTCCTTCTGCCAGGTTTTTATTTATTTAGGCATATGACTTTTAAGCTGCTTGCGGGACTTGGTGTTAACTAATAGAACCTCCTTACTTATTTTTATCTCATGCGGCTTTAACGACACTTTTTTGTTTTAATTATCCTTCTGTGTTTCATATTATGCTAGAGTGTGGGCCACTTTCAGTGCCAATTGTAGTGGAAAGACAGGCTACACAATCAATTTTTAAAAGCAATCAAACTTTAACGGATGAAAGTGAGGAATGTGAGAAAGGAAAAAAATGGATCACCTAGTTTCATGTCACAGCCAAAACGTTCACAGCACATGAAGGTGACTGCTGCTCAATGGAACCAGTTCTCACTTCTACCAAACATACAGTGGCCAATCCTGGAGACAGAGATTATATACATGGATGTGGTATCTTGGGGTTCATCCTTTTCCTTCTAAGCTTCTGCATGTCCACGAAAGGAAAAGGGGAAATGACTGTATATTTCAGAAAAGTTACAACTCTCTCACATTTCTAAAATAAAGGCCATCATCTGTTGAAAGACCAACTACACTTTTATATTCAGTTGAGTATTTTTAAACACATCTATACATGGGGTACTTAAGGAGGACATCTGTGTTTAAACTGTATATGTAAGAATTCATTACAATGGCAATTGATTAATCTTGGACATTAGCTGAATCCCAGATTTGATGTAAGGCCAAAAAAATGGAAACTAAATATATTCCTGGTGACCTGTATTGAAAAGGCACCAAGTGTTTACACAATGCTCTGTTTAATGTCTAACAGTCATGTGTATAGGATCCAACAGGGTTCTGTCCTTGAAGGAGCCTTCTGACGGTCTTTGCTAAAAATTGTGTTCTGTTCCGCTTGTCAGCTGTATTGCATCGTTTTTCATAACTGTGACAACTCCAAGAACTAGCGCATCAAAATGATGACACAATCTCTCATTAACAGGATCAAGATCAGATATGCCTAAGACTGAAGGACTGCCTTTTTATTACAAAGAAAATATACTAAAATCAAGGTAATAACAGAAGGGAAAAAAACCTCTTCCGGTCAACCTCGTACAGAAGCTCACCGTCCTCATATCTCACTTATCTGTCAAGATTCTTGTTGTAATCCTAGATAATTTCTTGGAATGGGATCTGAAAGCTACACCAGAACTAACAGCCAAGGAAAAAAAGATTCATGAAAAATACATCAACAGCCATTTCCTGGCATGTTAAAGAACACATCAAAAGATTAAAAACAATTTGTCTTACTTTTCAAACACCATCTTGTAAACATGCAGGTAAAGACATCTACCTGAGGGAATTAGAAGGTAAGAGAGAGAAAAGAACAAGCTTAGCAGAGTTCAAGTTGTCTGTTCCTTTCATTGCCGCGCTGTTTGTTCAAAGCTGGTCATTAAAAGGATAGAATGAACCTGCAACTTGACTGTAGTCCAACAGCATGAGATAAGAACTTTGGCTTCTACTGAAGCAAAGCTATCTTTAGCTACAACAAGAAGTTCTATAACCCATGGAACACAAATAATGTCAAAGAAGAATGTATTGTTTTGAAATCTTAAGTGACTCACACCATTTCCTGTGGTGAAAAATCTGCATCTTATATCTGTACTGCAAGGACATATACTTTAAATTAAATAAATAAATAATCTATCAGGATGCAATTAGCTGACTCTTAGCTACCTTTTTAACTACT